CGTTTTACTACTTTCCCAGGTACATTGACAGGGAGCTGGATTGGAAGTGGAACAGCCAGGACTTGAACTGATGCTCACACGGGATGCCAGTGTTGCAAGTAGAGCTTTACTGGATATGCCATAATGCTGGCCCTGCTAATCACTTTCTTCAGAGAAAAGACCTACAATCTCATTGAGACTCACATTCATGCTGGGAACCATGCTGGGGCAAGGAGACTGAGATTCTCATTCTTAAGCATAATGACTGACTCATCATGAATTTTTTGTGCCACATTTCATTTCCAGCTTTTATTGTATATGCAATGTGCTGAAGCTGCTCTGAATGAATTTAATATGGTTTCTGAAGGGGTCTTGTACTTCTGGTAGAGATCAAATGGGGAATGCCTAACAGCTCATTGTAATGTTGTCCAAATTGATTTCTTTTGTTTAATGTTCTAAGTCATCCTCATTTTCGTAGTTCTTGTTGCATCTAATGACTAATCCATGAGAGTTTATCAATGTGCTCCTGTGCAGGTTCTTAGCTTCCATTGCCCTCTATTCTGCCAAATCAGGTTCCACTCCTGTACATCTTCTGGTCTTCATATTCTTTGGTTCATGCTTACACATATCTCTTAATACTGTTAGGCATGGATGTTTAGCATTTCCTGTTTCTTTGATTTCCTCATTGTGAATGATGCTTGAGACAAGGAAAAAAGTAAAGAATTGCTATTTCATCACGTTTAATAATGAAGTCTAAATCTGTGCAAAGTCATAAGAGACTTTCAGTAGTGAGTTTATCATTGCTCATTAACTAATCTAACAAGTACTTATAAAGTTAAGATATAGCATGGTGGTTAATATTATGGACTTTGAGTGCAGACTGAAATAAGTTTTCTTAGGTTCTCTCTCTGTCTTGTTATCCTCATTTTAAAATTGGGAATATGGGCCCGGCACAGTGGCCTAGTGGCTAAAGTCCGCGCCTTGAACATGCTGGGGTCCCATATGAGTGCTGGTTCTAATCCCAGCAACCCCGCTTCCCATCCAGCTCCCTGCTTGTGGCCTGAGAAAGCAGTTGAGGACGGCCCAAAGCCTTGGGACCCTGAACTTGATTGGGAGACCTGGAAGAACTCCTGTCTCCTGGCTTCGGATTGGCTCAGCTCCGGCCATCATCAGACAGAAGGTCTTCCTCTCTGTCTCTCCTCCTCTGTTTGTATCTGATTTTGCAATAAAAATAAATACATTTAAAAAAATAATTGGGAATAATAGTAGTAACTACCTCACAAGCTTTTTTTGAATACTAAATGAGTTAGTAATATGCTAATGAGCTTGTCCAGCATCTAATATTATGTCAATAAATGCTAACAATATTATTGCTATTATTGTTTTTATGATTGGTTCTGGTACTTTGCAGAGAATATGATGGAGAATAAAATAGGAGTGAGGTTTTTTTGTATATCATATTCAGAGGGGAACATTTATGTCATTTTGTGGTACTATGGAATTACACCTAAAACTGAAACTGCAATACTTACTGGTCATAATTCCAAGGATGGGATAAGGGACTTGAACTTTGTATTTCCAAGATGATGATAGTACATCCCCATATTCTTATTCTGAAATATAAGCAAAGGAGGCATTGTGTATTTAGTGTTCATTGAGGTATCTACCAGATATCACACATAAATAATCTTGCTGAATCATCAGCTCAAACCTGCTGATTAAACCTGACCAGAGCATTCCAGGTTTGGGCCCACTAGACAGCTTATCAGAAAACACTGATTGAGCTCACAGGGACTCCAGTTGTCTTTGTGGCTCTATTTGTAAGAAATCAAGGTACTGTATTCATTTGTTCCTCATCAAACAGAGATTATCCATCTCTTTGTCAAATCCAGAGGTTTAAATTCTACATTATTGGATGTACCACCTTCAATAAGAATTCAATTACCCTTTAGTTCTTGGTATCTGCATGTGCCGAATTTTGTTCAAAAGAAATGCCATTTTTTTTCCCTTCAAGTGATATCCTTCCAAACCAAAAGTGACTTGCTATACACTTCTGTGGCTGAAATTTTTGGAAGCAAGTTTTACATCTTTTGTAGCTTAGTAGATGCATTCAGCTGATTTTCCACTTAATGACAATGTGACCTGTTAAGTTGATCAAATGCAAGTCACTTTTCTTATCTTACATCTTGTTCCTTTAAACAGAAAGTCTAAGAAGTCTAGGATCAAGTTTTATAAAATTAGTAAGTAAAACGTCAATGGTATGTGTCCATTTCAATCATTATTAATTTATTCATAATTCATTGACTTATTCAGATTAAGGTCTTCATAGTTGCCAAACATAATAGACTAAATCATCAGTGGCCTCAACATTGTGCTGTGATGTGAACAAAGTCAACTGTCTGACTGGAGTTCTTGTCAATCTTGTCTTAATTCATTGAAACCATGGTGAAAATCTAGGACAGATGTCTGTGGAGAAGGCCTCTTCTTCACTTGTTTCATTCTCAGCCTCTTTTCTTACTATTTGCAGCAAGTGCAATTAGAGATGTCTGGGGATTGATATGAACAGAGCATTCACTGGGCTTGTGGAAAGCAAAGTTCTCACTACATAAGGGCACATTTGATGCAATCCAACTCAAGTCGACTAGAACAGAAATTGAAGCTTTCACATTCGCAGTGGGTCATTTTTCCATTTGTTCCTTTACAGCAGAGGAATGCTGTTGTTATCCTATGCATTTTCCCTTCAGTTCTAGTACTTCTACTATAGTTTTGTATACATGTGTGAGGGAGTGATAGTGGTGCTGTGTGTGTTTGCGTGTAATATGTGATGAATGCTAGAGAACCTCAAAAAATAGGATTCATATTTCAGACATCTTGAGAGTTGCTACCAATCAGCTCTAACAGGGTTCCATCCAAGAACAGAAAGGCAGCATAGCCTGCAGGGTTGAAGACTCAATCAGAGGCAAGGGGGGGGGTGTTGCTTTTTAGAGTTTAAGTCATTGCTTTTGGCTTTAGGTGAATGCAATCGTTTTGCTCAGAAGGCTCTGTGCCTTTCAAAGCAGAACATTATTATTTCTGCTTTCAGGGGCATGTTGCCCTGTGATTTTTCTATTAGTATTGAAATTATTCTGCACCTTCCATCCTTCATTTAATGTCATAACCTACAAAAGCCTCAGAAAACAGTCAGGCTTTTGTAGAAGTTCTGATGACTAAATGGGTCATTTGAGAATGTAAGGAGGAGGAATTAGTGAAATTCTCCAAAGATACCTCAAAGAGTGCTTAGTAACTAAGAGTATATGCTTTGATGACAACTCACAACATCCGTCCATGTGTTCTACAGTGTGCATGTTGAGGCAGAATATATGGATCTAACAAAATGTCTACGTGTTAAATTGAGTTTCTGGACTAGAAAAAGAACTAGGAATCTTTGTAAAAGAGCAGAAATAAAGGATCACAGGAAATATTGACACCAACTGAAATCACTAAACTATCAAACAAAACATCTGGATTCTAATGCTAATATGCTTAAGTGAGTGAACCTGTCAAATTACTTCAGTCCTCTGAATCTCTTTCCTGCATACAGAATAAGACATTTAGACCAAATGAGTCCTAAGTTTTAGACATTCACAATTCTTTTTGCTCATTTTATAGATGAGGAAACTGAAACTATGGAAGAGACCATAAGTGACTTGCATTAGGAACAGGTCACATAACACTGTGTCATCTTATGTTCTTTTGGTTTTAAAATCTATATGCATAGTCAAGTTTATAGGCAGTTCTGGGTCTGAGACTTAGGCTGTCTCATTTTGTTGATTTTGTTTGAATTTACCATTGATATTTGTGACACCCTTTAGATACTTTTGATGTGCAGCCAGGGTTTAAAAACACCCTTGCTCTAGCTGCTGTACTTCTCTGCCTTTTTGATATGCATTTCCAACACACAAAAATGATTAAATTTAAACCTATTTTTATCAGATCAAGTTTACTAGAGCAGATTAGCTTTCTAGACACTGTGAAACTAAAGAAACAAGTATCAGTGTTACCAAAGCTTGGTAAAATGTCATGACCACAGCTTTTGTGAATTCCTTCCTAGAAGTGAAATGTTAGGGAAAACCATAAAGCTTTGGCCATGGAATATGGGTATGTGTGTTGTATGTGGGGAGGATAGGGGGTTGGAGTGTGGACAGTGGAGGAATTATTTGTCCTTCTTCTCTACTTCTTTGGGGAAAAGATAAAATTGTTGTTCCCAAAACAGACCTAAGGATTAATGATGAGTGCATCAAGCAAAGCATATAGTATCACCTTTATCACATTCATTAAATAGGCATAGTCATGTTGTTCATCATAGCCAAATTACAATTCTGTAGTAACTATTCACTTTGCATACCAACATGATATAGGGCCTCTTGATTTAAACACACATTCTCTACACAATGCAACATTTGGCTCACAATACATTTGTGTGTACAATATGTATTTAAAAAATGAGTTCTGGTTGTTCACTTTATGCATCTAAAATAGCTATTTTGAACTAAGAGAAGATACGTACATGGACTGGGGAGATACATTATTTATGGCCTTCACATACATGCACCTAGGGCTCCAGAAGTATTAACAAAAGGAATTTGGCCTTGTATATTGCACCAGTAATTAATATGGTAAATTTCCTTTGAACTCCACTTGTCTATTACAACACTTGCTTTTTGTTTGTTTGTTTGTTGTTGTTTTTTAAATGCCCCTTATAACTCAAAATCACTTTTTTAGCTTAGGCGCATAAAAGTATATTGTCTATGACTTGGTTTGTTCATAAAATTGTCATATTTGATATATTTAAAGTTGTGAAGACCTGGGGGAGAAAAACAAGAAATTCCAGGAGAAACAAAGCAAATTCTCAGAAAAAAATTTTTCCCTCCGGGTCTTCATAGCTCAGATCTGCAGTCCATAATAATGGAAACACACTCGGAACATACTGTGATTGGTCTAGAGTGACTAGGGCTGAGGATAATTTTAATTTTTAAAAATAGGTTTCACCATTGTTTGGAACCATCTACAATTCAATTTACTTTATTGCACAAGCCATGAATAATGCTATGAAAGAAAATGGACAGACTAGTGCTGCCAGCCTGGTTCAGCATTCCAGAAACATGCAATTCTATGGATTCAACCAGTTGATAAGGACAGATTCAAGTGGAAATGGAATTTCAGAATACGTAATCCTGGATACTACCTGGAAAGAATGGGAACTCCATAGCACCTACACTGTGGACATGGAAGCAGAGATGCTACGATTCAGAGGAACCCCTATTCACTTTCCTGGTGGCAGGCCCCCTACGGCAGATGCAAAATGCTGGTTTGATGAAGGGAAGATCTGCAGAGGAGGTAAGGACTGGAAAAATCACTGGTAGTCTGTTTAACTCAGTTTGAATTACAAGGAAATTTCTTTGAGACAGCCATAATTTAATACTGAAATTCACATGAAGTTATTTGCGTTCAGGTGATATAAACTTGTCACGTTAGTGAATTTCAAATGCTAAGAACACGAAAGGCGATTTTTGGCTGAAATAATCACCCACAATTTAAAACCCTTTCCACCATTCATTTTAGCCTTTCTCAGAGAGGTTACTTTTATAAGAGAAAGGTATTACCTTTCCCTTTGGTCTTTTGTAGGCCATGACCTGAAATGGTTTCCTCTGCTACAAACTTCACCTGCCCATCCTTTGATGTATCCTACCAATCTGGCCCCATCCCCAAAATGAGTATATGCACCCCCTCTTCAGTGAATACCCATTGAATTAAAGAAAACCTCTGTCTCATGCCTTAGCACAAAAATGATTTTAAATTGTGTCTGGTATATTGATTATGCTTCCTCTTCCTCTTCAATTCATTGCTCTTTCAGGGAAGGGACTATAGCTACTAATTCTTATGCCTATTCCTCCAACCCGGAGTCACCCACACCAGTGGGCATCCAGTCAGTATTAGCATTTTGTTTGATTGGTGGAACTCTTCTAACTCATGAAAGAGGGGGAATCATTGAATGTCTAAAAGACAATACACAACAGTATTGGAAGACCTGTATCACTCATATACATATACCTCCTCCATTCAAAAGTCAAATGGACCTAATTGAAATCGGCCTTGATTTCTACATTGCTTCAGCATGACAGACTATCTCTTCTCTCCTATTTTCATATATTTCTTTATGAATGCTTAGCAATCTATTCAAATGTTTAGATTTTTCAGAGGCCAATTTACACGCTGATGAAAACGTTGGTTATTAAAGCCAGACCAACCCTCAGACTTGAAGGACAAGTACCATGTTTTTCATCTATCACCCACTGGGTCTGTGGGCCCCAGGGTTGAATTAAAAAAGGTCTTTTATTTTATGAAGGCAACATAATACTTACCCCTCACAGGGGAGATAACATATTTATTCTCAAGAACTCTAATGCTGTCTAACTGAAATGAAGGTGCTCCAAGTTTTTCATTCGTAGACTTCTTCCTCCAAAGAAACACGCCGGTCAGCCTTAATTCATGTGATTTGTTATTGTCAGAGTGGTGAGTGGTTTTGCTTCAGAACAGTGAAATTGCTTTCTGTGTCCATAAAGTCAACAAGACAGACTGTGCCTTAGAAGAATGGAATTAGGTTAGGTAGATGTGGCTTGATTTTAGAGTCACCAGAAAGCATGGGGAATCATTCTGTGGTGCCTTTTATTTACTGCTTCTTTCTGATAATGGTATTTGTCCTCTTCTTGCTCTCTGCAGGCATCGACCCCGCCTTTGCCATGATGGTTTGCTTTGCTTTGCTTGTAGCCCTGCTGTCTATTAATGGATTTGCTTATTTTATAAGGTACATTTTTTTGTTCTTTTTGTACACACAAAATAGAAGCCCATAATAGTTTTGTTAATATTGGTTTCCAGGAAGTCATGTTTCAGTGCAGTTGCCTCATTACATGACCCACTGATTTTCATTTTTCCAAAGTGATTTACCATCCCTACTGGCCCCATTTAGAGTGAAGTGTTTTCATGATGCCAAGAATAACTTCCTCAGCTATGTTGGCTGTGAGTAGATCTGGCTGTGAACGCAATGGTGAAAGAAAACTATTTAAGGGCCTGTCTACTCACTATCTCTGCTCCTTTTCCGCTGGCAAGGTTTGCTTGAATTATCCCATTTAGGAATGGGTTTAATAGTGAATTGAGTTGGGACAGCTTTAATGAGTTCCAAGAATTAGGTAGACATTGAACAGAATCCAAACTCTAGGGATAATGGTACTAATTCATAGGATCATAGTGGAGATTATATAAAGAAAGTAAAGCACTTAGAATAATAGCTGATATATAGTAGGCATTCAGTAAGTGGGTAAAATTCAACTCCTTTTCAGGCACAAGGGGCTAGTCTGTTGACTGTTGGGAGTCCAGGATCCTCATTTTGAGTTTTAATACATTGTTCAGGGTAGCACATCGCTCTGTTTCTAGTATTACTCCTTGGATAAAAGGCTATGCTATCATCATCCTCTTCATCAAATTATTGTCTTCCTTCTTCACATCCCTTAAATAGGAGAGCATCTAATGACCTATTTCAGAGCTGGGATACATGGCTGATTGCGGCTTAAGACAACATCAATTTGCAACATCTTTTTTTTAAAGATTTATTTTTATTATTATTATTTTTTTATTGGAAAGGCAGATATACAGAGAGGAGAGACAGAGAGGAAGATCTTCCGTCCGATGATTCACTCCCCAAGTGAGCGCAACAGCCGATGCTATGCCGATCCGAAGCCAGGAGCCTCTTCTGGGTCTCCCACGTGGGTGCAGGGTCCCAAAGCTTTGGGCCGTCCTCGACTGCTTTCCCGGGCCACAGGCAGGGAGCTGGAAGGGAAGCGGGGCTGCCGGGATAGAACCGGCGCCCATATGGGATCCCGGGCGTGCAAGGTGAGGACCTTAACCACTTGCGCCACCGCGCCGGGCCCGAATTTGCAACATCTTAACAGTTGGACCCTCTACATACTAGGACAATTTGAGAAAAACAGAAAATGGCATCAAACATAACTCTCCTACTTCACCCTTCAACCTTCCCAACCACACTTCATTGCCTATATGTAAGGGTAGTTCAGATTAAACTATGGAATGGAAAACTTGGGTATAGGGTGGACTATTTTGGAGAGTTGCAAAAAAAAAAGCCTAGATTATATTAAATAGTTGTGTGACCATGGAGAAGCATCTTAACATCCCTTGGCCAGATTTTCTCCTTTATACAGAGAGAATTAGATCTTATGATGTTTAAGAGCTCTTCTGCCCCCTGATATTTTAATGAATCTGTGAAATTCAGCATTGAAACCATAAATAAACGTTACTCTTAGTGTTTAATGTATTGGCATCACTGGGAAAAGCTATTGTTATTCAATCTCCCAAGTATTGGAAATATTAAAAATTATTTATTTATTTGATATGAAAGAGGGGAGAGAGAGAGAGAAGCAAAGAGAAAATCCCTACCCTCTCAGGTTCACTCGGTAAACACCTGCAATAGTTGAGGCTATTTCAGTCCAGCAATTCAATTTCCCGTAGGTTGCAGGGGCCCAAACTTTTGCCCACCATTTTCTGTCTCCAGGGGGTGTACATTGATTGGAATCTGGAATCACAGTTGGTTTCAAATGCAGACATTCTACTAAAAGATGTGGGTACACCAAGCAGCATAGTATCTTAACTGCTACAGCAATTGCCTATTCCCAATATTAGAAAACTGATAAAACCACAGGGTACAGTAGGAAGCTTTTGCTTTGGGAAAACACACTTGATAATGACATTAGTTCAAAAGAAGTTTTTCTTGTAATTTCATGACTGTGACATATCCTTGTTTATAACAGAGATCTATTGCTTTTAGTTTCATTGCTACCAATAAATAGAGTACTATAAATGGCAGTTATCAGATACATAGTTAACATGCATCCCATCCAACAAAAAGCTTCTCCTAGAAAGAGTTCTGTTCACCCGATGTCAAAACCATCCTAAGGCAAGGTGGCAAATGGAGTCCCTCAGCTTTTAGTGTTATTGTCTACACCCCCATATGACGATTCTTGCTATTTTTTTTTCTCACTGAATGACTGGTCCTTTGGATTTGAATGAGTCCAGCATGCAATTCTGTAATTCTTGGGAAGGAAAGGGAAGAAGAAAAAGAAAAAAAAAACATGGGGAAAAGGGAGGGTTTGTTTAGAACATGTGGGCTGGCGGGCAAAGAAGACTGGAGAGGAACATGATTAGAGAGGAAAATGATTGGAGAGGAAAATGAGTTTGAGACAATTGGTACTTCAAGTGGTCACAGAAAGCTCAAAGAAAGGAAGAGAGGCACATTATTTTCCAAAGTGACTTGGTCCCTGGTTCTTCAGCTAACAAAGCACGAAAGATGCCCCCTCTTTGCTGTCTTCCTCCCTCTGCCCACCATGGCTGCAATCAGAAGAGCTGAGCAGCTGATGAGTTTCTGTAATAGATGGTGATTACTTGCGGGAGAGTGACTCTCTGTTCCTTACTTTTCTGTGTGTTTTGATTGTTTAAGATTTTTTTTTTCTTTTTTCACAAAGAAAGACGTGCAAAGAACTCAACCTTCCCAAAACAAAGGATTCTTTGAACTCCTTTGTCCTTACTCCTCTGAACCAGATTACATTGCTTTTCTATGAAGCTCTCCTGTGCTTTGTAATACTAATGACCATAATGATAATAATGAGTCCTTATACTCTCTGAGTGCTTCACGCCTTTCAGAGTACTTTCACATACATTATTTCATTTGATTTTCAAAACAACCCTGTAATGTGAATCATACAGGCACCATTACCTTGCTAGATAGATGAGGGACCCTGAGACATGAAGAGGTTAAATTATTAATTAATATTTACCCACACCTGCTCAATTAATGACAGAATCTGCACTGTATCCCAAGTCTCTGGATTGGAAGCTCACTAGAGTGAATTGTGTAGTATGATTGTTTTTACAGGTGTGCCTTCTTTAAAGCAATTCACTGTACATATGAATCAGGTAAGGCAGGGAGCAATGCTTTACTTTGTCAAAAGATTCATGTGTCTTACCCAAGAATTCACCACAGGGCTCTTTTAATTTTCTCTGTAGGGCAGCAGCTCCTACTGTGATAAGGAGCATACTTGTTGGGAGGGGCAATCACAAGCATATTAATTGTTTACAAACCAGTGGAGTCACTGAGAAAAATTGCCTGGGTTGCTGGTGACATTGTATACTTCTTGCAGCCTCTTTGACAAAGTGTTTGGATTCAGTGGTTGTTTTTCCTGCTCTTGGTTTTCAATATATTACACAGAGTGACCGTTTTTGCATTATAGAAAAACAGAAACTGTGGTTATTGTGGCCTCTGAAACAAAACAGAACAAAGCAATCACACTGACTAATGCAAAGGTTTCCTCCTAGGACCTTAAGTTTCTTGGTTAGACCTACCTGACTGTGTGGGTAGACATGGAGAACTCCTGTGTGTATAGAAAGCAATTACATTCACTGCAAATTAATGGGCATATTTGGAGACAATCAGGTTTAAACTGTGTCTATGCAATACTCAGACAAGAGACCAATTCAGTAAAAGGAAAGAAAAAAAAAACTACTTGTTTGGAATCATGTAGACAAAGGAACCAACTGATTGGATTTTTCCACTTTTCGACCTGTTACTTTGGCAACGCACAGATGCAAGTTTGCAAGACAAGTGGTCTTATGGGCAGAAACCTGGGCCAACAGCCAGGGAATGGGGGATTCAAGTTCCAACTCTGCCTCACGCTAAGGAATCTCATATAATTTGCTTCGTTTTATTTCTTTAATGTGTTTTTGTTGATAAAACGGAGATTGATGTTGCTCAGTTCTAATAGTTATGATAAATACTAGGGCATAAATAAAAGATGTTGAGTTCTTATAAAGTCTTAAGAGACGTTGTTTGGAATCTACCCTTGATGTGTAATATTTACTTATTAATTTGAAATACTAGGCTCAGGCAAGATCTTCCCCACTTGCCTTGGTGCCTCTTGGAGAGCATTTTCATTTCTCTTTTGGTCTTTGTAACTGCAAATTGTGAGGACTAGGGATGCTGCTGCCCTTTGCTGTGGGTACTTTGATAAAAATCCATGTGGTTATCCTATCAATATCTTTTATATTCTGTAACTGCTGTCTAAGGGCAAATTAACTGTAGCTTTGACCTTCTGACTTCATGTTTGTTTCAGGCGTCGTATAAATAAAATCCGGTTGATTAAAGGACCCAACAAAATTCTACTGACTTTGGAGGATGTGACATTTATCAATCCCCAATTTGGCAGCAAGGTAAGGAGTATCCCCTTTTCATAATGAACTGTCCAGTATGACCCCTTTGCAGGTGCCTACCACAAGCAAACTTGGGAGGACTTGACATGCAGCTAGTCTGAATTGTGATGTGTTGTGAAAGTAACATATTCGCTGGCTGTAGAAAATAATATAGGAGCTGAAATTGTGGCACAGTGGGAGAAGTTGCCACAGGGGATACCCTTATTTTATATTCAAATACTGGTTTGGGTCCTTTGACATGGCTCTGTGGTAACACATCTGGGAAACAGCAGGTGATAGCTCAAGTCTTTGAGTCCTTGTAAGTCACATGGGAGACTCAGATGAAGTTCCTGGCTTCTGGTGTCTGCCTGACAACCTTGGCTGTTGCAGTCTTTTGGAAAGTGAATCAATAAATTGAAGCTATTCCTCTTTTCCTTTGTCTTCCCGTCCCTCTGTAACTCTGTCTTTTAAGTAAATAATTGTTTACAAAGTAGTATATATCATGTAAAGCATGTCACTAAATTTTTAAAAAATCAATTCATATTTATGTATTTAAATTTACATATATTTAAAATTATATTTAAATAAACCTAAAACATGTTTTAGACATATTGTTAAATAAGAAAATCATTTTAATTAATTCCTTTTACTTTATCATTATCACAACTTGATACATTTTTACAGTGTAATGATTAAATGAGACAGTAGGCATCTTCATGCTCTCAAACATTTATCATTTCCTTATACCTTGATATTTCTTGTGCCTCTATTATAGCCTTTGAAAAATATTTATTTGGGACAGCATTATGGCATGTGAGTAAGCCATCACCTGAGACACTGGCATCCCATATGAGCACTGATTCAAGTCCCGATCCAGCTCCCTGCTAATGCACCTGGGAAATCAGGACGATGGCTCAAGCGCTTAGGTCTGTTTACCATGTGGAAGACCTGGTCTTTGTTCCTGGCTCCTGGCTTTGGCCCAATCCAGCCCTGGTCATTGTGGTCATTTGGGGAATGAACCAAGAGCTATTTCTCTCTCTCTCTCTCTCTAACTCTGCTGTTCAAATACATAAACAAATCTGTTCAAATGATAATTTAGTGCCTGTGAGAGACAGAGAGATAGAGACAAAGAAAGAGCAAAATAGAGAGTGAGCGAGGGAGAGAGACAGAAATGTTCCTTCTACTGTTCTACTTTCAAAATCTCTGTAACAGCAGGGATTGGACCAGGATGAAGCCAGGAGCCTAGAACTAAATCTGGGTTTCCCGTTAGGGTTGGCAGAAACCAGGCTGAGCTAGCCCTCTCTGCCTTCCTCTGTGTAGCACAACACTGGAATTAGAAACAGAGTTGGGTATTGGATATTTTCACTTAAAGATGGAATGTGGACATCTCATTTAACACTACACCAAAAGTGCTTTGATGTTTCTAATAAAGTATATAAGGTGTAAACTGTAGTCACCTGACCATCCTGTAGAATACAAAAACTTATTTCTTCTAATTCTACTTTGATACTTATTATCCAACCTCCTTTCTCTTAACTATTACAATTCATTAGTAATCACTATACTACTCTCATTTTACATGAGATAAACTTTTCTAGCTTTCATATGTGAGTGAGAACACATGACATTCGTCTTTCTGTGCCTGGCTTATTTCATGTAACACAGTGTTCTCCATTTCTACACATTTAGCCACAGATAACAGGATTTGATTCCATTTTATGGCCAAGTAATATTGCATTGCGTATATATACCACATTTTGCTTATCCATTCATCAGCTTATGAACACCTACATTAATTCTGTATCTTTGCTATTGTGATGGTGAAAAGTGTGAACCTAGCGCTGAATAATGATGAAAAGTGGGTATATTGGTCATATAATAGGTCTGCTTTTAGTGTTTTTAGGAAAATACATACTGTTCAACATAATGGTTGTACTAATTTGCGTCCCACCAGTAATGCATAAATTTTTTTAATGTACCTGCTATAAAATGTGAAGCTGCATATGTGGACCACATTGCATTTCTATTAGGTAGCACTTAGAACTGTATTGTCAAAGAGAATGCAGTGTATTTTGAGGGACAATTGAGCTTTGCAGTTCTTATTTGTGTATTTGGATTCAATATTATTTTTAATTGATGACTTAAACATTTTTATTATTTGAGAGAGAGAATACACTCTCATCAGCTGGTTCATTCTCCCAGTGACTGCAACTGCCAGGAAAAGGAATTGGAAACTGAATGTGGAATCTGGGAAATCCATCCTGGTTTCCCAAGTAGGTGACAGGGACCCAATTACTTGAGTTCTCGCAACCGTTTTTCAGGGTGCACATTAGCAGGAAACTGGAGTCAGAAGTGGGTATCAAACCCAGGCACTCCGACATGGGACACAGGCATCTCAGAATATAACCGCTAGGCCAATATGCCCGCCCCTTGACTCCACCGTTGAGTGTTAGTTCTTCAAAGGCAGAGGTATAGTTTTTATTATGTTACCACATAGCATCATAGCACCCCCAGGTGTTTCTATTAAGATTTTGGCAAATGAAGCAACTGGTAAGAGAGTTTAGTTCCTAAAGGAGTTCTTTCCTGGTTGTGTACTAATCAGCATTCTGTAGATACTTAATCAATAGACATGTATTGTGGCATATGAAGGGAGGTTTTTAGGATAACTGACTCATGTGATTATGGCAGCTAGGTAGTTACACAATAAATTGTGGATTGAAGCTACTAGGATGCTCGTGGCATGGTTGAGTTCATGTAAGAGGGCTTTAGAACCAGGGAAGCTGATAGTGTAGCTCTCAATTTGAGCCTAGAAATCGGAGTAATACCAGATGATCTGCTGTTCTAAATTCTTAAGTACAAAGATCAGCGACTAATTTCTGAAGCAAGACTCAGCCATGTCCTAGATTTAGTCTCTCCAGACCCCCAGCCAGTTGGTAATATCTATTCACATCGAGGCTGGGCCTTCCCACCTGTCCATGTAAGCTCGCCTGCTAATCATATTTGAAAATACATTCACAAGACACACCCAAAGTTATGCCATTCCGGACTTCTAGCTATTCCTCAATTTAGTCAAGCTTACACCATAAAATGAACCCTTACTGATTGTGGTTATGTTGGAAGTGATAATCTTCACTAAGGGCCTGCTAGAGGCGTCCTTCATGAGGCTTTGGTGAGAGATGACATGTAGTCCCTGCTTTTCAGAAGATTACAGACAACTTAGAGAAACAAATGACACCACACAGAGATTCAAGAAGTGTCCTGGTGCACAAAAGAAACTAGAAATACAATAGAACTTCAGATGAGGCAGGTAAGTGGAGAAAAGCTTTTCATAGACTCGTTATCTAAACTGAATCTCAAAAGAAGGACAAAATTTGTGTAGGTCACAGGTTATAAATGGGTAACCACTTTTGATTGGCTCTCACAGTTTCCAAAGATAGTAGCAAGAATTCTGAAATTAGGAAGCCATGCATAAAAATTTACTTTCTCTAAAATTGAAAGGTGCTTCAACGTTGGGTAGTATGATGGCAATCAGCTGTAATTCCATAGAAATTATCTTTTTTTGCAAGAGGCATGTTCTTTGCTATTTGACAGGTTTCCATCATTGCATAATTTATTTCTTTTTAAAAAGGATATAAATATTTTTTAAAATATGAAAAATATTTTTTTATTGGAAAGGTAGGTTTCACAGAGAGAAACAGAGACAGAAAGATCTTCTATTGTTGGTTCATTGTCCAAATGCTGCAATGGCCAGAGCGGAGCTGATCCAAAGCCAGGAGCCATGAGGAGCCTCCTCTAGGTCTCCCAGGTGGATGCAGTATCCCAAGGCTTTGGATCATCCTCTACTGTTTTCCCAAGCCATAAGAGGGAGCAAGGTGGGCAGAAGCAGACAGAGGGATAGCCAATTGAGCCATCATACCATCCCCATTGCAAATACCTTATACTCAGGCTATTTTACTTACTTGCGCTACCTGCCTTGCCCTTTAGGCATATTAGAATGACAACACAACATAAACAGGAACTTGGAGAAGAGAATATATGGGGAAAAGTCTTATTGGAGGTAGCTGGTAGGTTTGTTTGTGCTAGTCTGTAGCCACAGTAGACACTAGTCTTTTCATATTTTAGTAAGTTTTGTGACAAAATATGGGGATGTAAGCACATCATATTGCACCCATATATCCTTTACTGTTGCTAATCCCATGTACCAGATTTGAGAATTGTTTTCTGGGCATTTGCCTAAATATTGCACTGAAAAGCATATTGAATTAGTTGGCTGACTAAGAATGCATTTTCTTGGTAATCTGTGTGCAGATGGAGTCAAATGAACTTTTTGATTGTTGATTTACTTCTGATTTATAAACATTATACTGTTCAAATCATGTTCCTGGAAAAGCATTGTTGAAAACAAAAGCTACTACTGTCACTGAAATCTGCAGTCTATGCTTATGCCACAAATCGTTATTGCTATTACCTTCCATATTTGATGCCATCCAAGGATCCTATGACTTATGGTGGTGGAACTTGTCTGGATTCTCAACACTAAATATGCCTTGTATAAAATTTTCTATTGAAATAGAGAGGTATAAATGCTGAAATACAAATTCTGAAGCAATCCTCATATGTAACACGGCACCAAGATAAAATATTTGTTTCTGTGAGAAGATAATTTAAAATCCATGAACGCTTAAAAAGTAGTAAAATCAGGTGACTAGAAGCCGTTGTCTAAGTGTATCAAAATATGGCACAATTTTTCTCAGAAGCAAGAAATTTGTTTTAAAAATCTTTTCTTGAAGGGTATATACATTAAAATGACATTTCCTATCAAGTATCTCAATGTTTTGAATGAAAAATATGAAAAAAATAAGCATAACACAATTTTGTATTGAATTAATTTTTTTTTTGGTATGGGTCTTGCAACAGTCCCGTGCAATCTATAAGGCCTGCACTTAGATTTGCTCTCTCTGTATTGAAGTTACAAGCAGTTGCCAGTTCTCATGAAATCACCACAAGTAACAAGAGTAGTG